GGGGGGGGGGGGAGAGAAACAGAGGCCCTGGAAGGAAGTCATAGAGCTGGGCCCCCACCAGGAACTTGGATGGGGCTGGGGGCACAGAGGCCCTCCTCTGGCTAGGAGACTCCCCTAGGGCACTCTCCCACTTGCCTGCCCTACCTTCAGGCGCAGTCAGGGGCTTCCCACCAGACCTGCCCTGGGCCACACCTCTGCCAGGGTCAAGGCTCTCCCTGGCACTTGTCACCCAGAAGAAAAAACGCCTTAGGTGAGCAAAAGTCCCAGGCATTGCCAATTCACTCATCCATTCTGCAAGCATTTATTGAGTGCCTCTCTGAGCCAATGAAGAGATTCCAGACAGATTTCTTCTTTCTTTCTCCCATCCCTTGCCTCCGGTGCATTGGCCTATCCTGCGGCCCTTGCCGGCTGCTATTGGCTGAAAATGGTAGAACACCAGGAGCCATCTGTGCCTGAATGTAGCCCTTGGCTCACAAGGCTGTGCCTGAAGGCAACTCTCCCAAGGAGGATGCACTGGAATGGAAGGGGCTGGGCTCTCAAAGAGCCTTTTGTTTCTCAAGGAGGAACTGGGGCTGCAAACCAGAAGTTATCGTGTAACCCACAGAAGGAGGGGGGTGGGGGATAATTTATGATTCCACATGAGATACCCACCAGGCCCTGGCAGACAGACCCTACCCATGGCTATCCACTGGGCTCCCATGTGAGGGGACCTCAGAATACGTGCATCTGTTACACCCTGTCTGTCCCCTGTGGCTCTCCTGTCTCTGACAAAGAGACAGACTGGGTTCTGCAGAAAAAGGAAGGTTAAGGGCTCGGCCCGAGGTTGCACAGTCAGCCGAGGCCACCAGGGCCCAGCAAGGGAGCCTGAAGCCCCCGCACAGGCAGGCCCTGCACAAGTGGGTGACCTCACGCGAGTTGGGTTTCCTGGCCTGTGATGGGGGGGGGGGGAAGAGTCCTATCACTGAGGAATGAGCAGGCTTAACAGGCCAGCAACTCAGGGGCCTCACCGTCCTCCCTCCCCAACCACTCCTACCTTAGCACCTTTGTCCTCACACTTGGGAGCCCAGCTCCTCCCTCTTCCCCATGTGGGGGTGCTCCAAGCTGGAGTGTGTCTATTCCAATTATGCATTCAGAACTGGGGAAATAACCACAGAGTGGATTTGGGGACCCACCGTGAAATGGACCTGAACTAAAACACCACTGACCACCTGACCTCCACAAACTCCTATTCCGACACAGTGATATTTGTGTCTCCGAGATGGTATCAGTTTATTTTTTTTATTTTTTAATATATCTGTATTGATTTCAGAGAGAGGAAAGGAGAGGGAGAGAGATAGAAACATCAGTGATGAGAGAGTCATAGATCCGCTGCCTCCTGCATGCTGCCAACTGGGGATTGAGCCCGGAACCTGGGCATGTGCCCTGACCGGGAATCAAACCTCAATCTCCTGAATCCTAGGTCAATGCCCAACCATTGAGCCATGCCCGGCCAGGCCAGTTTATTTTTATATTTATTGATTTGAGAAAGAGCAGCATCAATTTGTTGTTCCATTTATTTGTGCAGTCATTGGTTGATTCTTGTATGTGCCCTGACTAGGGATCGAACCCACAACCTTGGCGTGTCGGGACGATGCTCTAACCAACTGAGCCAGGGCCGGATGGTATTAGTTTAGAGCCAGTGTCCAGAGTCCTAGAAATGTCTGATTATTTCCTTTTCCTCACACAGGCACTCTGGTAAAAAGCTGTAGGTCCCTTTAGGAACGGCTGGAAGAAAGATTAATGATATACATTTGGGCAGCATACCAGGGTTCTTCCTTAAGGGGTCCCGGCCTCCCCTTCACTCAAGGAGTTCTGGGTCTGTGAAGTGGCTCATCTGGGAATTGACTAAGGGGTCATGACTCTGTGTTTATTATTTAAGTTAGACTTTCGCTCACTTGACCTGGAACTCTTCTGCTTATATAGATCAAATAAGAACTCGGTAGGCTTCCCATCTATTTCAGTTCTAGGGACATCATGATCAACTAGCCAATGCCATAGATCAGTAAGAGTCAGACTTTCTGGTTGCTACTTGACTCTGCTGTCTATTAGGGTAACCACATCCACCTTGATTTTGGCCATTAAGTGCCTCCACTTGGGCCCTGACATCTCAGGATCTGATGCCCCCCACTGCATTTAGGTTTCCCAATTCCATGACAGCAGTTCTCATGTAAGTTCTGACCTACACGGAAGAGTGATCACAGAGCTCTTCTGGGATGCTCAGGTTTCCCTCACAATGGTGGTGAAAGGTGTGTCATCGGGGCATTCCCAGGGTAGGTCTTAAATGACAAATCCACTATAACATTCGAATCTCCCTAAGCTTTTGGATCCCTTTCTCTAGAGTGGACCAAGGGAGGTCTGGCATTTCAAATCCATTTAGTGTGGGCCACCTTTCGGTCCATGTCAGCCAACTAAACAAACTGTTAGAACCCTTTCTAACCTCAACATTAAGTTCAGAATCTCTGCTCAGTGAGCCCCTATCAATAAATTCAGCCTGATCCAACTTTATGTTCTTTCCACCATTACCCCACCTAATATTTATGCCCACACTTTCTCCAGATTTCTGTCAATATAAATTGCAAAAATCACGTAGTTCTTTCGGAGTACAGCACAACTCCTCATAGGTCACATTTTGCACCTCCCAGGTTTTTGCATGCCAAGTTTGCTGCCATCTCGGAATCTTTGTACATGCTGTGCCTCTGCCTGGGAAGCTCTTCTCCTTGCTTCTCTCACTTGTCACTGATGAGCTGAGATGACTCATCCTCAGCATTCTCCTTCCTGACCACTGGAAGCAAAGCACCAGTCCCCTAATCACCCCCTCCACACATCCTAGCATCATTACTCTGCTGTAGTTGCTCACAGCCCTTCTCATAATCTGACATGAATTATCTGTCTCCTCAACTGTGCCATAAGAGCTTGAGGGCACCGTCTGTCTTGCACATGGCTGCATCCCCAGCACCAACACTAGAACCTGGCACAAAGCAGATGCTCAATAAATATTTGTGGAACATGCCCTCGCTGGTTTAGCTCAGTGGTTAGAGTGTCAGCCTGTGGACTGAAGGGTCCCGGGTTCGATTCTGGCCAAGGGCACATACCTGGGTTGCAGGCTCAATCCCCAGCCCTGTTCGGCACTCGAGCAGGAGGCAACCAATCAGTGTCTCTCTCACATCGATGTTTCTGTCTCTCTCTCTCTCTCTCTCTCTCTCTCTTCCCCTTCCACTCTCTCTGAAAAGCAATGGAAAAAATATCCTTGGGTGAGGCAAAAAAAAATATTTGTGGAACAAATGAAACAACTGTGCAAAGCCTGACCCTTGTATCCTGGCATCTCTAATGTTGTTAATAAACAGAGTAGACCTGGGTTTCATTTTTTTATTCATCTCCTAATTATTCCAGAGAGGATTCAAGATGGGAAGGAGGGTTTCAACATCACCCACCCTCCCAGATGGCAAGAGTTTCAGTGCATGTGCAGTAAAGCATGGTCACTATGCCCTGGGAAGGTGTGTACTTTAGGCTGTGAGCTTCAGGGTCCCCAACCTGTGCAATCAAGGTAATGGAGCAATAGGTGTTTTCCTAAGCCCAAGTGAGGCAAGCAGCGGCCACACAGAGTGTGAAACAGGGTTCAGGATTTCTCCTCTCGTAACTGAGAAACCAAAGGTCAGTCCACTCCTACCACAGGTCACAGATCTTCAACACTCTGGCTGCCTGGAAGGGTTTAACCAGAGTGAATCATGCAGTGACTGAGGCTGGAGCAGGCAGCTGGGGCCACCTCCATTTGCACTGTCTCCTAGCACAGCTTGAGGGAGATGGGCATCAACTTTGGTGAAGGCCTGAGTCTGTCTCAGAACTGGGCCCCACAGGGGCGGGTCCAGACAGGCAGAAAGGGCTGAGAAGTAAAGGTGGAGTGCTCTGTCACTCACAGATGAGCCAGGCCTACAGCCTACCTCCCTGAGGCCAACATGAGCTGACAACTGGGTCCTCCAGGCCCATTCTGGCAGTGGGATATGGGCCACAGGTGGCAAACCAGTAGTTTTCCCAAGAAGAACCAGTGCAGAGCTAAGGCCTTGGGAGCCTTCCTGATGTTTCAGCCACCCTCTTCCCTGTCTGAATGTCTGGGGTTCCAATTCCAAGTAAGGGTGGCCAGAGTGTGGCCATCTTGCAGTACCCATCTGGGGAGGCTGAGGGCCGCCCACCTACTTCCCCTGAGAGGCAGAAGTTTCTTTGCCTGGAAAAAAGGAAGGAGGGGAGAGAAAAAGTAATCCTGTTCAGTTATGTTTCAAACAACATCCCCTGCGCTAACCCACTCCACTCCAGCCTGCAAGCCAGGGGAGTTAAGAGCACCCCGACACCCAGCTGAGGAGAGTCGGTGTGCCCCATCACAGCCTAGAGCCTCTTCCTGCATCCAGACAGAGGATAAATAACTACAGAAGCAAAAAATTATCAACGCACCGTATCATGCACCAGCCCCTACTGACACCCTAGTTTAACACCCAGTGATGGCAGCAAGCAGGTGCTGTCAGCAGCCCCGTTTTACAAAGGATGAAACAGACTAGGGACTGGCCACAGTCTTGCAGGTGGCAAGTAAGGTGCTGGGATTTGAGCTGCAAAGCTTTGGGGGTGCTCCTGAGGGTGGCTGTGTGTGCAAAGAGACCTGCGGTTATTTGTGAGCATTTGTGTGAGCAGGAGGGCAAAGGCCAGAGAGGAGGCCGAGCTCAGATAAAAATGCAGGAAAATGAAATACAGCTCCGCAAAACAAATTACAAATAATAAGAATACTGCCAACAGGGGTGCCTGTTTGAGCCATTACTACGTGCCAGGCCCCAGATGCGCAACCTTGACCCTCAGCCTCCGCCCAGCCCTGCCTCCCACTCCAGTCACGGGGAAGAGCCAGATCTCGGGAGAACATCCTTTGCCACATCCACCCTCAGATGCCCCTTCTGGGGACACATGTGATCAACCAGGCACAGGAAGCAGGACATCTGCTCCTCCGTCCCTGTCCTGCAGCTGTCTTTTGGGGTGGCCCTGGGAAGTCCTGGGCAGCATGCTTTGGTGCCCCCATGCTTTGTCACTGTAAGCGGATGAGAACAGTGTGCCCCCTGCCAAGGGTCTCTAAAATGTATGACAGTCCTGTGCCCAGCTGCCTGATAGCAAGCTCACCTTTAGGGACAAACTTCAGCGAGCTGCTGAATATTCAGAAGCGTGACTGCCCCTTCTTAGGGCCATCGTTCAGGAACTCATGGCCCAACCCGTTGCCACACTTGCCACAGGAGACCTGGGAAGAGCGTAGAACAGCCACATGAACTTCCAGCCACAAACGGCCACAGCAATGGCCCCTCCTGCCACCAGTAGATGATGTCCTCCCCATGCCCATTTCCCAAGGTAACTTCTGGCAGGAGAGGTTGACCTCCACCCTGTTTGCACCAGGACCCCAAGCTCTCTCATAGTTTGGGGTGGCAGCCTCCCTGGCTGAGGCAGGAGGCCTGGGATAGATAGACTCTAAGCCCCTAGAGCTGCAGGGAGAGCAGAAGGAAGGGGTGGGCAACAGCCCCCTTCCCACCCCCTACTGCTACCACCCACCTTTAAGGCTTCAGGGCGATTGTGCTCTGGATGCTTGGCCACACTGTCAGCATGGATAGTCTCAGTGAAGGCTGGCCATGGGGACGAGTGTGCATACTTTGAGTGGCTGGAGAAGAGCTCGTAGCCACACTTGGCACACACGTAGACACCTGGAGGCAGGAGAGAAAAAAGCAGCCTCTTTGGGGCAAGCTCAAATCCTCGGACCCAGTAGAACACAGAACTCTCCCCAGTTGCAGAGTGAGATGCACACCCTCCCGACACCCCCACCTGGGTATTGGCTCTGTGGGGGAGACACACCACTGAGCTCACATTTAGTGGTTCTTAGCATGTGCCAGAGACCAAGAGCATCGCTTTTCACACTTATTTCATTACCTCTTCTCAACAGCCCTGTGATACAGACCAACCCATTGTACAGATGAGGAAGCTGAAGCTCAGTGATACAAACCACTCAGCTAGAGGGTGCAGAACCAGGAAGAAACCCAGGGAGTCAGGTGAGGACACAGCACCCTCACCCTTCACAGGGGAGCTATGACATGGCCAGCACCACCACCTAGCCCCCCCTCCCTCCCCGAAGCCTTGAGCAACTGGCCCGCTCTCCCTTTCTGAAGAGAATGGATCCACAGAAAAGGCCTCCAGGCCAGACAGGGGCCAGGGAGAACAGGTTTTAAACTATCCTCAAAAGGTTACTTTGGGGGTGGGGGTGAAACTGACTTGCTGAACAGGAAGCAGGTAACCTTTACCCATTGCCTGGCCTGGGGACAGCCTCCCTTCCTGTCCCTGAACTACTCAGCCTTTACCAGTAACTGAAGGAGGAAGCAAAGAGGAACCAGAAGCCGCTGCAGGAGTAGAATTACCAGCTTGGCGGAGCAGCCCGAGGGTCCCACAGCCAGAGGGGCTCAGGAGAGGGCTTGTACGTCACAGCGATTTCCATAGATGCTCAGTGTCAGAGCCCAGCCCCCTGGAGAGCTGATAACCCGACAGATCCCACCCCAAGTAAGTCGCTGCTCTAGTCTTGCCTGTGGCATGTTTTTACCAAATTAGTCCATTACCAAGCAGCACAGCCCAGAGGGGACTCACCGGGGCTTCTCAAAGCCTGGGGCCAGGGCTGGGGGCTGGCCAAGGCCCCAAACCACTCCCGACCCCACTCCTCCCACCCGCCCAGGCTGTCAGACTTCACTCCACTGGCCATTGGCACTCCTGGCTACCCACCCCAGGGCCCTGGGCAGGTGGGGCAGGCACTTGGGGCAGCACATGCGGATCCAAACAGGACCTTCTGTGCTCGCAGGCTTACCTCTCGGGTTCCAGGAACCGGGGGGGCGGGGGCGGCAGGGGTAACGTCAGAGAGAGCGAGCAGCCGCCAGGAGGGGCAGCCCAGTCACAGCAGCTGCCCCTGCACGAGACCCTCTTCCACCGCGTCCCTCTGAAATCCAGATCCGGATCCCGAGCCCTCCCCACCCCCATGTACCCTGACCCCCAGACTCCCCCCGGAAACGGCCACGTTCACACTCAAAAGGGTTTCCCCCTCCAGGAGAGTGAACCCCTCGAATGTTCTCTCCTCAGGTACCCCTACTCTCGGAGGCCCCAGACTCCTCCCTCCTCCGTGATCCCCTTTTATCTATAGGCGCC